TTTCAATGCTTCTATTACATACTCCATTATTAGGAAAAAGTATACAATAATTTAAAGAAGGACAGGTGAACTTATACACAGACAAATAAACAATATAATGGATAATTCGAGACCCTCCACCACCACAAAAAAGTCATGATATTGATAATAATGATCATAATGAAATAGATAAGACAAATAAAGAATAGGAGATGACATTAAATAAAATAGCGAGCGAGAGAGAGGAGAGAAAGAGAGGAGAGAGGAAGAGAGAGAAAGTGAGAAACAGACCAGAGGGAACCCACAAAGACATTCACACAAAAGAGAGGGAAAGAGACAGGCAGACAGACGGGATTCACAGCAGAAAAGAGAAGGAAACAAACAAAAAAAAAAGAACACAAAACACACACAACAAACAACCACGACAAACAATCCCCAAAAAACTAACGAAAACCTTTCTCTTTTTCTCCCCCTTCCCCCTTCCTCGGGCCATCCCGCCCATCGCCTCCTCCACCTCGCCCTCCAACCGCCCTCCATCACCCCTCAACCCCTCACCTCCCTCCACCCGCCCTCCATCAGCCCTCCCGCCTCCTGCAGGCTGGCAACGAACGGCGGGGCTGCAGAAACGGGCATCCGTCCCCCCCGGTCATCAGCGGCGACATGGTTGCACCTCACCCTGCTCCTTCGAGTTCAACGGCGACAAGCTCTACTCGCTCACCTGGTGGAAGGACGAGCAGCTGTTCTTTCAAGTACGAGCCGAGCAACAACAGGAAATGGTGTACGAGACCCGGGATTCACCGTGGATGTGAGTAGGGGGGACCGAGGGCTTTGTTTTTTGATTGTTGTTGGTTGTTTTTGGGAGGGATGGGGCGGGGAAGGTGGTGGGGATGGGTTGGGGGGGATGGGGGGAGGGGGGGGTAGAGGAGGGGAGGAATGTGGGGGTGGGGTGGGGAAAGAGGAGGGGGGGGTAGCGGTGGGGGGGGAGAGATGAATAAAGCACCGAAGGAGTAAGAAGCAAGGGAAGAAGACAAAAAAAAAAAACGAGAATATCAAATAAGGAAAAAAAATAACGAAGGCTAAGTAAAGTAAAAAAAAAAAAAAAAAAAAAAAAACAAAAATAAAAAATTAAGAAAAAAAATGGAAGCAAATAAAGACAAATCCTTAAACAGAGAAAAAAAATGAGTAAGTCGAAACAAGAGTGAGANTTTGAAACAAAAAAGGTATGATCGGTACGAAAGCTGGGTCTCAAATATCCAGAATCTTTGATCAGTTGCTGGCCATATCGGCAACATAAGAAAGAGAAAAAAAAAAAAAGAAATAAATGCGGTAAAGAAAGATGGCGTTGCTGAAAATCTGGAATTCTCCGGATATGTAGAAAGCATTATTCCTTATAAACGAAAATATTCTATTTCCATAAAAGTTTTTACACCAGTTCACGCTGGTCGAATGACGTAAGTTTCAGCATTACGAAGTCTGTGACGCATTTCAGAAACATTTCGAAATATTCATGATAGCGAAGATACGGATAAATTTCCCGCAGAGTTAGTTCGATCCGGTAACGAGGTTATTCTTTTCGGCACGTATCCCCCGCCCTTTCTCTCCTATCCAGGATAAAAAATAGATAGAAATTAAAATTCATTACATCGGAATTACTTTTTTTTTTAATCTAATAATCACATTCACTCTCTAACGAATTTTCAAAAAGTAACTTTGTCTCCTCTTTCCGTTACCGATTTTGAAATAAATATCGTTGAACCGTTACCGTTAACCGTCATTTCAAAATATATATATATATATATATATATATATATATATATATATATATATATATATATATATATATGGAGACTTTCCTGTGTCTTCCCGCTCACAAGAGTAATAGGAAAACAATTAAGTAATGACAGCCATGTACAGCAACTACATAACATCATCATGTATCATAAATATATTTGTTGGATCTGACAGAATCTAAACCTGCAACCTACGTCAGCAATATTCATCTATGCACCAAATGAGTGAGTGACGTCAAAAGGACGTCGATACGCCAATACTTTTTGATGCAACTTTTATTCATGTATTCATCCATGTATTCATTCAGTCCATATATTCTATTTTCGTCTGCCTTTTTTCTGTTACTATTTATAGCACTCTTTCTCTCTCCTTCAACTTGGATTGGTACTATCATTCAATGCATGTGTACATAGTTAATTGTGGGTTCTGCAACCTGAATTTGCTTTTCTAAACTAAATATTGTTTATTACTTGCCCATTCTAAAGCCAATCCTTACAGCATTAGCCAATATCATCATCAAGGAATATTACATTGCAAAAATACATCTGGAAGTTGAACTGTCTTCTAATCTGAGTTTTACGATTATTAATTGCTGACCATGAACTAAATCTGTTGTTTGTTGAGGTCCCTGACTTTACCAGAGGTTGTGCCAGGGTTCTGAAGTCGTGCGGCTCTTTGAGAGATTGTTTCTTTGGTAGAGCGCAAGTCAAGTGAAAGGATACGAGGAATTCTCCCGGGATTTTCATTTGGAAGTGACCTTTTCGTGTTTCGCTATGAGATATGAACGGAATATGCAGTTCTGATACCAGCCAAGATTTGTAGTTTATCTTCTTGTGAAACTGTTTGGGTGCTACTTTACCCAGTGACCAAAAGAGTCTGGGGAAAAGGTTGGATCCTTAAACTAAGTTTTGATATGTTATAGAACAAGTTTGAATCTTGCCAATGGTGTGCAAACAGGCAAGAGGATTGAATATTCAGGACAGAAGTCTTTCAAGATATGTAAGAATTTGTGCTTTGTAAAGAGTCTAGATTCCTGTAGGATCTAAGAACATTCTATTCTATGTAGGAATGTGGCTATCTGCATGAGGCTTAGAGAGCAATTTTCATATTATTTCTCTATAATCAAATCGACTCCAAAGTTGCCGAGGTTGTTACAATAATCACTATTTCACTTTTCATGATTTTTCTGTCTGCTTCGAATGAGAGATCACTAATGTTTCCTTTCTCTCCTTCTCTTCTTTCTCGAGGGCCAATTGTAATTTCCACCTTTTCCTCATTCCTTGTATTACATTTGACAATTTATTTTCAATCTTGTTTGTTGCGGATTTTCGTTCTCTGCTGTTCGTTTTATATTTTACGTCTCATGGCAGAGAAAAATTAACGACATATGCAACCCATTCCTTAACTAATCAAAATTTAAGGCACCATTTTTTCCCCCAGACTCTCTTGGTCTCTGAGCAAAGTAGTATTAGAAAAGGCCTTACATAGAATCGCGAAGATAAGCTAAAGTAGGTGTCAGAACAGCAGATTCCGAGGCACAACTCCCACACTTGCACGTTGATGGCGCTCCCAAGTGAATATTTCGGGAAACCTCTTTTTCACTTGAGGACATGCTCTCTTCAAAAGACACTTTCACCCAAAGAAGTCAGTACCTCAAAAATCAACAGAAAAACTATGAAAACTTTAGAAACTGGTTAAAAATGGTTAAAATCTTCTTAGAACTGAATAGAAAAGACAGATTGATTGATAGATTCTTAAATAGCAATATTAGCTTGCACTGTAAAATCTGACTTTGAAATAGTATTAAGCAAGTATTAGTGTATAAAGGAATGTATATATTGCAGACTAGCAGTTAACTATATGCATAATCTTTCTCAACATATAAAAATTGCCAATTAAAAATAAAGGAGAAAGAATAAATATTATAGATAAAAATAAAAATATATATACACATATATATATAAGTGAACAGATGAATATATTATATTGACTGGCCAGACGAAACCATAAATAGAAATAAACAAGGAAAAAAACACTAAAATACTAGGATATGACGATATAATTTTGACGTCACTCACTTGATACATAAATCAACATTGCTGACGTAGGTTGCAGGTTTAGGTTCTGTCAGATGCTTCACAACTATATTTATATCATGAATGACATATTATGTAGTTGATGTGTTGCTGTACATGGATGCCATTAGTTAATGTTTTCCCATTACTTTTGTGAGCGGGAAGACAGAAAGGAGAGTTATCATCAATATTTTGTATTTTTGAAATGACGGTTAACGGTAACGGTTTAATGATATTTGTTTTCAAAATCGGTAACGGAAAGAGGGAGACAGAAGCTACTTTTTGAAAATTCGTTAGAGAGTGAAATGTGATTATTAAATTAAAAAAGAAAAGTAATTCCGATGTAATGAATTTAATTTCCATCTATTTTTTATCCTAGATAGGAGAGAAAGGGCGGGGGGATACGTGCCGAAAAGAATAACCTCGTTACCGGATCGAACTAACTCTGGCGGGAAATTTATCCGTATCTTCGCTATCATGAATATTTCGAAATGTTCTGAAATACGTCACAGACTTCGTAATGCTGTAATTTACGTCATTCGACCAGCGTGAACTGGTGTAAAAAACTTTTATGGATATAGAATATTTGTCGTTTATAAGGAATAATGCTTTCTACATATCCGGAGAATTCCAGAATTATTTACATCAACGCCATCTTTCTTCTCTACCGCATTTTTCGTTTTTTTTTTCTTTCTTTCTTTTCCATATTCTTGTCTCTTTCTTTCTCATGTTGCCGATATGGCCAACGAGGTATCACAGATTCCGATTTCGTATGCTGGGCGCAAGGAAAAGTACCTTTTTTGTTAAAGATTATGCTCCTTAATGGCTATTAATAAGTCGACATCTGATAATTACTTCAACTTACCTGCGAACACCTTGATATTATTCTTTGCTTTATGAATTAAATGTTCACACGAATATTATAAAAGTTCTTTGTCTTTTTTTATGATTCCTGTTCCCTTTCCATATTTTTACTCGTTATGGCTAATAGAATTCACGACAAAAAGACATCGCTTTCTGATAAATTTGTAAATGTATGGAAATGATTGACGTAATCCGTACGGCTTGACATTAATGATGAATAAAAGGGCGAGTTGGCCGCGCGACAGTAGGGTACGTATAAGAGAGTGGACAAGAGCCTGAATTTCAGCTGTTGCGGTCCTTTCGTTGACAGAAGAGTCATAGACAACCCAGTCTTGCATGTAAGTTAACCGCTGAATGGATTGAAAAATATCCGTATGTGTTTTACGTGTTTTCAGACTTTTCGCCAACGGACACTTGGCCGAAAGAAAACTTCACTGAATCAGATCTACCAAATGGAGTACATAAACTTTAAAGTGGCCGTTTTCATAAGGCAGATAGTGAGTTAAAACGTAATGAAAGAAAATGTTTTGGGGTAACCATGACATATATAAATCATTTACTGAGGACATAAGGAATATGTACAATATGACAAAACGGGATCATAAAAAGATTTTAATTCAAAGTCATAAAGATAGCCAAACAAAGTCATAAGATTAGCCACTCAAAATTCTTAAATGTTTATGCGTGACTTCAGCCTTTCATACTGATCGAATCTTGCCAAAAGTCGTCCCGGTTGGCCAGACGGGGTTCTCGGAGAAAAAAAAAAAAAAAGTTTGCTCTCGTGGGACGTACCTGCCACTGGTCACATGTTCTTAGTTGAGCTTTCTGACCTGAATTCATACTGTAGTTTGCATGATTTTGTTTCATTGGTCTTTAGAGGAGAACGGAGTAACACGATGTTTTTTTACTTTGAGTATATTTCGTTCTCTTGAAAAAAAAAAAAAAAAAAAAAAAAAAAAAAAAATATATATATATATAATAATATATATATATAATATATATAATATATATATATATATAATATATATATATATATATATATATATATATATATATATATATTACATATATTAGCACACTGCTATTACCGTCCATTAACAATAAACTGTCTATCTGTCGATGAGGTGTCTTTTCAGCCACTACCGTCAGCGAAAAGACATTTGATAAAATTCTGAAAACAATGAGTGTAATTGTATTTGCATAAAATGTTTTATTGTAAACGCTTTATGATTATATGTACATATGCAATGATTTAGCGTGTAATATGTACCTGTCTTTTTGCTTGTGTTTGCGTTTTACATAGTTATTAGTGTCTCATTTCCTTATGCTTTTGTGTCCAGACGTAGCAGGCGAGAAGAGTTCCAAAATCGAACGCCATGAAGATAATTGTAAGTATCGATACAAGAAACCACTTACCTTCCAATTGAAAATGCAAAATAACCATGATAAGAGATAACAGTGACGGATGAATAGATATAAATCGTTGTCGAAAGTTAATAAAATACCTCACACACACACACACACACACACACACACACACACACACACACACACACACACACACACACACACATACACATACACACACGCACACACACACACACAACACACACACACACACAACCACACACACACACACACAACACACAACACACAACACACACACACACAACACACACACACAATATTTACCAAACAATTCCAGGTATCAATACCAAAAGCACTCGCAATCAAAATCAATTGACTCACTCCACCTCCCTCGTAACCGCAGTTCCTGGTACTGATGTTGGTGAGCCTCCTGTCCGTCGTGGTCCACGGGGCGCCCCAGCTGGTCATCACCCGGAGGAGACAATTCCCCGGCGAGAGGAGACTGGGAAGCACCAACTATGGCCCGTACAGCTTCGGCAAGAGAGGCTTTGCGAGAAGAAACAATCCAGGTGCGTTCTGGGTATATTTTGTTGATATTTTCTTTGGGTTTGTATATTTGTGTATCTGTTTGTCTTTAGGTCTAGCTGTCTGTATCTGCCTATCAATGTATGTTTGTGTATGTTTTTTGTTTATATAATTCATTCTCTTTCTCTCTTTCTCTCTCTGTTTGCGTATATGTATTTTGTTTATATAATTATCTATCTATCTATCTATCTATCTATCTATCTATCTATCTATCTATCTATCTATCTATCTATCTATCTATCTATCTATCTATCTATCTATCTATCTATCTATCTATCTATATAAATACATATTTATATAAATGAAATGACTGTTGAGTGAACATCTTTTTGGTTATTCATTTACAGCAAAGAAGAGTTCCCTCGAATAAGGAACACTAAAACAGCCTCCGATTGATACCCTTGTTGGAGTAACCAAGGATTTTTTAATGATCAAAGCAGTACAAGAGATTGTAACTTTAGCCCATAATAGTTTTATTTTTATTATGAAAGGACGTGTGCATTCCATCTTTCTCTATACATTAGTTGTCATGATGCTAAATGACAATGTATGGTTTTATTTACTGATTGGCTTTACTGCAAAGATGAAGAATCCTGTTTTTTTATGCTTACTCTTCTTGAAGGTGGCAGAGATTCAGTATCTGCTGAGTGGATTTTTCTATTCTAAGCTGTGCCGATATACCAGTTTCATATCTTGTTTAAATAGTTCACCGAGACGTAGAACTGAAATTATTTTAATATGTTCTTCCCCCCCCCCCACCCCATTTCTTTGAGGCATCTCTTTTCCAGGTGTCTATGTATATAGAGTAACTACTTACTGTGATATAATGAAAGTATAAACTAGATAGTAAGCCAGCCTATGTTGTTTGTCGCTTTCATGGTGCAAAACAAGCTTTATAAAAGTATAAACAACGATTTTTCAAGTGAAACATGATTCCTTGTTTGTTTGTACGGCTAGTAATAAGGTTCGAATAAAAAATATGAAATACTTGTATTATCAGGACAAATCCTTTTTTAACAGCAATACGTGTGCCTGTGTGTTTGTATGTATATGTGGTGTGTGTGTGTGTGTGTGTTTATATATGTATATATATACACATATATATATATATATATATATATATATATATTATATATATATATATATATATATATATATATATATATATATATATATATATATTATTTTTTTATATACATTTGTGTGTATATATGTACGTATATATATATATATATATATATATATATATATATATATATATATATATATATATATATATATATATATATAAATGTGTGTGTGTGTGTGTGTGTGTGTGTGTGTGTGTATGCGTATATGTATAAATGGTTATATATACATGCATATATATAAATACACATACATATATATGTATGCATATATATACCTATGTATATATGAATATGTATGTATCTATAGAGAGATGTATGTATATATGCCCTGTATGCGGTTATATATGCTTTCCTGATCACTATTTATTCTTTCATCTATTTTTTATCTTTTTTGTCTGACATTTTTTTTCACTTTATCATTATCTACATCATAATTGTAATAATTATCATCATTATAATTATTTGATATTACCGATCTTACTATTAAGACTATATTTACTGGGAGTAATAATTATTATTGTTATTCCTAATATATCCTTAGCGACTGATGACACTGCTATTTGTATTAGTTTCTACCCTGCAATTCGTTTTAATCAAGGGCATGGAAGACACGAGAGACAAGGACTACATGACCAATACCGCGTTATTGAATCGATTGAAGAATATTAAGAATACTAGATCATATGGATGTAAAAGAAGTAGGAATGATGATTTGATTAGGTGAGACTGGATGTTCTGGTTTTATCTTGTCATCATTTCATTCCCCTTTTTGAGTTTGTGTGAGATACCCCTTAAACTACCGGGTATTAGCAATATGATTAAATTACTTGCGGATAATTTTGAAATGGTGAGTGCTTTGCTTGAGGAAGCATATTAACAGAAAAGAGAGAGAAAGAGGAAGAGAGAGAGATAAAGAGAAGGAGGGAGAAGAGAGAGAGAGAGAGAAAGGAGGGAAGAGAGAGAGAGAGAAGAGAGGAGAGAGAGAAAGGAGAGGGAAGAGAGAGAGAGAGAGAAAGAATGTCAGAGAGAGAGCGAGAGAGAGAGAAAGAGAAAGAGAAAGAGAGAGAGATACGGTTAACACTAGGGTTTCCTGGTTTGAAGCAGTCCATTCTAGCAGAGTCTGGTTCAACCTTTGATTCATGCAAGAATGTTACAAGTCAAGCCACCCCCTTTTTTCTCTAAAGTCTGCGTCAATGTATATAACTGATCATCATTAAATAGCGGGGTTGTGTTTGCATTTTTTTTCCTCTTCTTCTTCGTCTTCTTCTTCTTCTTGAGACTGCTTAAAACACTTGAAATGTACATTTGATGTGCACATATCAATGTATCATTATATATTGGCTTCAGGGGAACATGAAAGAAAACTTGTCGTGTTGATATTTAGGAAATATCTATTATGCGAACGGGTAGAAATGTATCAATTTTTCTTGATTATACGAATCAAAAATACGTAAAAATAAATGCTATAAAGTCTTTTTTTACAAGGCGTAACTTAAGTCCCTATGCACTGCTTTGCGTTCCGTTAGAATAAAATACTTCATACTTTTGTGCGCTACAAAAAATGATCGTTTGTAGCGCTACGATGACTCGAAACCATTGACCTACACGAATATTTTGTTTAGAATTTTGTTTCTAATGAATTAACAATTACTTTCCATGTGTTAATATTTCTGACACTTCTTGTTATCTAAAAATAACCTATTTTTATATAAAATATATAAAAATATTTTATATAATATAAAATAAAATATTATATATATATATATATATATTGTCAGCCCAGCAACTAAGCTGAGAAGTCGAGAACCAAGGTCATGTTTCGTCATATTTAAAATCCTCTACTGAGCACATACTGTTGAATAATACAAGTCAAGACGTGCACATTAGCACTGATCATAAAACTTCGTGTGGCAGAATCCTCACGAAAAAAAAATATATACCCTTGCGTTTATACACCTTAGGAAGATTACAAGTATCACACTACAGTCAAGTTCCATCAGAATTGTGCTAAGAAAGCAAGGGTGTGCTTCAGTACGCTCGTTGCAACCACATAATCGTCGAATATTCCCAGAGCGGTGATGAATATTTATTATATAGATATGTATGATACGTTAAGGATTTACCTTTATACAGATGAAAGACAATCCAAATCCATAATCACGCTTAATTATATATATATAATATTAATATATATATATATATATACATATTATATATATATATATATATATA